GTTAAAGGGTGCCTGTCTTTTCCCACAATGATGCCACCCTGATAAAATATGCATTATGACATCTGTCAGCACTGCTAACATCAGATGTTTTGCATTGACAACAGATGAAAATGTAGCCATCTTTTTCCCTTTCGCTTTTAGAGTTAGATGATGCTGGGAGAGGGGGGATGTGAATGAGAGTCTAGCTAGACATAACAACACTAAACCTAGTGTGAGAATCAAGGTTATTGAGCCCAGAGCTGATAAAGAATTGGCAGGGCTGGAGAACTGGAGAGGAAGCCCACCGTCAAGCTAATTGGGGAATGTGATTTATGACTGTTAATTGGATGAGGGAATTATGCTTTGATACTATGTGCCCAGGGGAGGGGAATTCAGTTTTTGGCTTCGATTATGTAAGTGCCGATATTATGCTACTCGAATAAAAAAATATTTAGGTAATCAATGCCTCGAAGTTCTTTTGAAGAGTTTCATCTGTCGGAACCATGACAACATCATCATGCAAGCTCCGCCTTTTGAATTTGCATTGTGAGATAGTCCACACCATGTAACAGGTCGAGTTTGCATTGGTCATTCCACCAAATGGGCCCAGGCATATCCCCCCCCATTCTGGAGACCCCATACCATCACCAACCAGCCCCCAGCAGCCCATAAGAAGGTGAAATGTGCCTCTCCCAGGGAACTACCCCCTTGAAACTTCCTGGAAGAAGAACAGGAGAAAAAGTGGTCTCATGGTTTTTTTTTTAAAGTTTTAGCTACTACTCATATTTCTAGAGTGAGAAAAAAATTCTTAAGAGGTGATGCAATTTTTGTTAAGGTTTCTAAAATTCTGGGACCAAGCTGGTGTCATTTACAAGGGATCCCAAGCATTAGAACCGTGGTGGTGCAGTGGTTAAATGTGGTATCGAAGGCTGACTCTGCCTACTGCCAGGAGTTCGATTCTGACTGGCTCAAGGTGGACTCAGCCTTCCTTCCTTCTGAGGTCGGTAAAATGAGGACCCAGATTGTTGGGGACAATATTCTACTTTTGTAAACCATTTAGAGAGGGCTGTAAAAGCACTATGAAGCGGTATATAAGTCTAGGTCAGTGGTGGCGAACCTATGGCACACGTGCCAGAGGTGGCACTCAGAGCCCTCTCTTTGGGCACGCGTGCCATCGCCCCAGCCCCACCTCTCTCCACGGCCCCCTCCCCTCCGGCAGCCCCCCTGGAGGAGAGTCGTCCCCAGGCATGGCCTACACAAAGCAGTGCAGCCAAGGACATAGCCGGGCAGCAGGGACAAGACTCGGCCCTCGCGCCCCATAGCATGCAGATGATGCTGCGGAGTGTGGGTGGAGGGCATGGCTGCCATGGCGCTGAAGGGCTGCCTGGGCAATCTGCTACAGCGGGCCATTGAGGCGGTGCGTGGCCCTGTGGGTGGGCAGAGCAGGGGGCGGGCGGGGGTGGAGTAGGCAGGGCAGGAGGCAGAGTGGGGGTGAGGGGTGGGTTTGGGGCACTCGGTTTCTAAAAGGTTCACCATCACTCGTCTAGGTGTTATTGGTAAGAGGAAGGAAGGAAGGAAGGAAGGAAGGAAGGAAGGAAGGAAGGAAGGAAGGAAGGAAGGTATACAAGTCTTAGTGCTAGTGCTAGTGCTATTCCCATCCGTTTACTAGCTCTCCAGTGATGGAATTTTCCAACCTGACACAGGATAGTTTTTACATTCATATGCTATCCTGGTTCGTTAGGAACTCAGCTCCTGAACTGACACGGCCCTTGCTCTAAGGTCATCCTTTGTTAATGAGTTCCCTGCACACCTTGCTTGAATTACAAGTCTGGAGGTTTTTTTTTTTCACTTGTGGGTTCTCTGGCTTCCTTATCTCCAGAGGCAAGGCATTGTGTGAACCAAATTTCTTGGTTTATTTGTTTTTGCAAGGGTGGCTTATCTGGATAACCTTTATGTTGCTTTACATGCATAGTTATCCATAAAGATAATCCTCCAAAGATTGTCCAAAGTGCATAAATATGTCTTTCCTGATGCTCCCTGGTCAGTTATAAACATCTGGTCTGCAATGAGCTTTTCAACTACTGTCTCTTCACAGGGGCAGCCTCTGATTAAATTGCAAATGTCGTGGAACGAAGAAGAACTCATACATACTTTCAACGGCATCCGGTTTACTACAAGATCCTCGCTGGAACTTTTACATTCTTTGGTTTCATTTGATGCTAGAGAAGATGACATTCTGTTGGTTTCCTACCCAAAATCTGGTAAGGTTTGTTTGGAATTTGGGTGAAAGAGAATTGGTGATTTAGTTAAATGAATTAGAAAAGATTGCATGTAAGAGGAACGGCTGTCAAAAGCTGGGCTAGACATCCAGCACCGTAAGAAATGCAAATGAATGAATGAAACGAACCCATGTTAAAGGCTTGAGAACTGCATTCACACTCACCATAAGCTAAACTATGTTAGTTTTAATATGAGTTAGGTTGTTGGTTTTCAAGGGCTTGTGAATGAAGGTCGTGTGACTCCAACCCAATTGGTGAGATTTTGGGACGACTGGATATTGTGCAAAAACAGAAAAAAGTAGGTTAATTTGTGGTTTCGCAGAACACGGAGCGTCTTTTGAGCATTCCAGAAACTGGAAGTAAACACTGGGCTCTGGTAAAAACGTTATAAATAGTGGTCATGTAACCATGAGGCACTGCAAATGGCTGTAAATACAGGTTGGTGGCTGAGCACGCAAAATGCAGATGTTAGGCACAAAAGATCAGGTCCAAACATGAAAGTCCAATTAAACTGATTTATTGCTATAATAATAATAATAATAATAATAATAATAATAATAATAATAATAATAATAATAATAATAATAATAATAATAATAATAATAATAATAATAATAATAGTAAAGTTGGAAGGGACCTTGGAGGTCATCTAGTCCAACCCCCTGCTCAGGCAGGAAACCCTATACCATTTCAGACAAATGACTGTCCAGTCTCTTCTTAAAAACTTCCAGTGTTGGAGCATTCACCGCTTCTGGAAGTAGGTTGTTCCACTGGTTAATTGTTCTAACTGTCAGGACGTTTCTCCTTAGTTCTAGGTTGCTTCTCTCCTTGATTAGTTTCCATCCGTTGCTTCTTGTCCTGCCTTCAGGCGCCTTGGAAAATAGCTTGACACCCTCTTCTTTGTGGCAGCCCCTGAAATATTGGAACACTGCTATCATGTCCCCCCTCATTCTTCTCTTCATTAAACTAGACCTACCCAATTCCAGCAACTGTTCCTTATATGCTTTAGCCTCCAGTCCCCTAATCATCTTTGTTGCTCTTCTCTGTACTCTTTCTATTCATGCCTATGCACAAGAATTTTCTCAACTAATGTCAGTACCTGCTTGGGGTTAAGTAAGAGTCAATAGAATTCAAGGGGGGATTGGACTTAGTTCACTTGTAGCTACATAGAGATTCTAGGCTGATCCCTCTTTCAACTTGCCCCCAGGTTTTATCATTCCTTTTCATACAGTGGTCATGTGACTGCAGGATGGGAGGAGGGGCAATGTTAATACTTCAAAACTGGGTCGTACATAGCTTTTCAGGGGTCTGTTGTAACTTTGAACTGTCGCTAAGTGATCAAGTCATAAATCAAGGATTACCTGTAGTGCAATGAATTCATGCTTCTGTATCTACCTCTACAACATTCAGCTGTCTATCCTTTGCATTGTTTTCTTCTCCTTGGCTAGAAGATGGTCTGCTTCGACTAAGCCTGCTTTCACGTAACCTCTGTCCTACCCTGGTTTGAGACTCTGCCAATCCAGTGCCTCTTTCCCTTCTCTTCCCTGTTAGGAACCCACTGGCTGGCGGAAATCCTTACCCACATCTATGCATCCAAAGTGGCTTTGACCTCTCCGATTGAATTTGGAGACCTTTCCAAACTGGATCAACTGAATCGTCTTTCCTGCAAAAGGATCATCCCGACCCACTTGGACAGCAACCTGCTTCCACCAACATTCAGGGTCAAGCATTGCAAGGTTAAAAAGAATAATAATCATTTCACTTAAGTTCTTGGGAATGTAGTGGTATTGACTCACACAGGAGGTTTAACCTAGATCCTGAATGTCCTGGGTTCACACAATGTAATCACACATTTTATTCAACCATAATCTGGACGTGTTAATGCAACACTGCCCAACAACAAAGAGCAGACTTCTACTAGATCAGTGGTGGTGAACCTATGGCACGGGTGCCAGAGGCGGCACTCAGAGCCCTCTCTGTGGGCAAACGTGCCGTTGCCCCAGCCTTGCCTCCCGCCACAATCCCCTCCTCACCAGCAGCCCCCTGAAGGATAGTCGCCCCTGAGCGTAGCCCACGCGGAGCAGTGCAGCCAAGGACATGGCAGCCAGGCAGCGTAGACAAGACTCTGCCCTCATGCCCCATTGCGCACAGTTGATGCTGTGGGACATGGGCAGAAGGTGTGGCCATCATGGCGCTGCTGGGCTGCCTGGGCGATCTGAGGTGGGCCCTGGAGGTGATGAGTGGCCCTGCGGGCAGGCGGAGTGGGGGCGGGACAGGGGGTGGAGCAGGGGCAGGGCCAGTTTTTGGGCACTTGGTCTCTAAAAGGTTCACCATCACTTTACTAGATCATTTTCTTTACAAACTTTAATATTAATCAATCAATATAAGCACGTTGAAAAACCTGCCTGTTCCCAATCAAACCCACATTATAAAGTAAGCAAATTTAGGATGTTGGATAAATGTGGATGCTAGAGTTCCGGATGAATCCAGCTCTTGAGGTCCATTATAACATTCTGTATCTATTTTGTAGGCCATTTATATAGTCAGAAATCCAAAGGATATTGCGGTATCCATGTTCCATTACTATCAAGAGAACCCAAATCTTCCCACCGTAGACTCTTGGCCGAATTTCCTGGAGATGTTCTTAAAAGGAGATGGTAAGATTAAACTGGCTATGTTCACTGGTAATATGTTGACTTCAGTTCACCAGTAGGGCAGCAGGCTAGGAAAATTTGATTCAAAACATACCTGAGTCTTTGAAATGTTGACAAAAGTTTAATCTTCCTGACTTGGCTGAATACGTTTGTCAGCTACAAAGAGTGTCCTGTCTGCAAGGCATGGAGAAAGTGGACAGGGGAAATTATTCTCTTCAGATTATAAGGAAAGGGGATTCGTGATTGAAACTGATTGGAACAAGATTTAGAATAGGCAGAAGGAAATCCTTGACACACCAAACAATTCAGTCGAGGAATTTGTGATCTGAAGGCACTAACTGGGTTGATTTAGAATTCACAGAGGAAAGATCTTGTTGGAATTCAGCTAAGAGCAACTAAGATGATCAAAGGCCTGGAGACCAAAATGTATGAAGAATGGCTGCGGAACTTGGGTTTGGCCAGTCTAAAGAAAAGAAGAAATAGGGGAGACATGAGAGCAGTGTTCCAGTATCTGAGGGGCTGCCACAAGGAAGAGGGGGTCAGGTTGTTCACCAGAGCACCAGAGGGAAGGACGAGAAACAATGGTTGGAAGCTGATCAAAGAGAAAAGCAACCTGGAATTAGGGAGAAACTTCCTGACTGTGAGGACAATCAACCAGTGGAACAGCTTGCCCAGAAATCGTGGGTGCTTTCATCACTGGAAGTTTTTAAAAAGAGACTGGACAGTCACCTGTCTGAGATGGTATAGGTCAGGGGTAGGCAATGGGAATGCAGTGCGGTGCTGAGCAGAGCAATGCATACAGCGCAGCGCAGCGCAGCGCAGTGCAGTGCAAGCAATGCATAACACCGTCTCCACTGACCATTCATTTGCTTTCTTCCTCTGTATCTAATTTATACTACTGCCCAAAGAAAGAGGATCAAGCAGTGGAAGACACTGCCTTTTCTTCTTGGCCTGTTAAGAGAGGGCATCTGTCACAGACGACTGTGAAGGGGCGTGGAGACTGATTGTGAGTCCTTGACCTTGGACTGTTCGTGATAATTCCTAATAATGCAATTTCCCAACAAAGCTCTGTCTGCCGTGATAATATCACCTTCCTAGTGTTACCTTGGTTTCTTGGTCTGTGGCTATAAGGATACACAATAACGGAGTTGGAAGGAACCTTGGAGGTCTTCTAGTCCAACCCTCTGTTCAAGCAGGAAACCCTATACCATTTCAGACAAATGGCTGTCCAATCTCTTCTTAAAAGCCTCCAGTGATGGAACATCCACAACTTCTGGAGGCAGGTTGTTCCACTGATTAATTGTTCTCGCTGTCAGGAAGTTTCTCCTTAGTTCTAGGTTGCTTCTCTCCTTGATTAGTTTCCATCCGTTGCTTCTTGACCTGCCTTCAGGTGCTTTGGAGAATAGGTTGACCCCCTCTTCTCTGTGAGAAGCCCCTCAAATATTGGAAGACTCCTATCATGTCACCCCTAATCCTTCCCTTTATTAGGCTAGGCCAGTGGTGGCGAACCTATAGCATGCGTGCCAGAGGCAGCACGCGGAGCCCTCTCTGTGGGCACGCGCCATCGCCCCAGCACATGTGGTCTCTAAAAGTTTGCCATCACTGGCCTAAGGCCAGCCAGCCATTGGGGAGCCCGCCATTGGGGAGCCCACCATCCCACCCGCCAGAGACCCCCTGGATCTCCCCCAACCCTGCCCGGCTCCCACAGGTGTCCCTCCCCATAAGCAACATCAAGGTGGCCACGCCCACCCCAGCCATGCCCACCCAATCTGCCATTACTGCAGCCACGCCCATCCAGTAGCCACGCCCACTCAGTCTGCCAAGCCCACTGTAGCTGCACCCGCCAAGTGGGCCACACCCACCCGGCACCCGGCGATACATAAGTGGGTTTGGGGTTGCAGTTTGGGCACTCGGTCTCTAAAAGGTTTGCCATCACTGGGCTAGGCATATCTGGTTCATTCAATTGTTCACCTATGTTTTAGCCTCCAGCCCCCTAATCATCTTTGTTGCTCTTCTCTGCACTCTTTCTAGAGTCTCAACATCTTTTTTGTATTGTTCTCGTTGTCATTCTCATGCCCGGGTACTTTGGGCTTGTATTTCTTAAGCAGGTTTTTAACACCTTCTGCCTTGCACCAGACTTGGCTATTTTGCACTGTCAGATCCAAATCACAAAGCTATAGGACTTGGCCAGCCATTTGAATTCCTTGTCGAGGTCAAGAGTGGAAGGATTTTGTTATCCCAATGCTGTTCAGGCTGATTTACTACATGGCTGTAAAAAATGGACAATCCAAAGATCAGCAAAGAAATAAGTAGAACTGATGTTATTAAGGGAAGTAAACAAAGTGGCCGTGGTGATTTGAGAAGGAAGGGGGAGGGATGAGAAGGATACAATATTCAATTTATTTAATAGCTCTATTCATTTTGGCAAGAATTTACTCAGAAGGATCAATGCTGGTTTTAACTTAAAAGGCAGTTAAAGGGCAATCTTAGATATTTTAGATAGTTAAGAATATTTTGGAGTATTTGGAGCAACATCATAAAAAGCAAGCTGCACTGATTTTTTTAGAGAAGGCCTTTGAAAATTTGCATTGTGCTTTCACGTCCAAAGTTTTGCAAAGTATACATTTTGGACAGAACCTTATAAAATGGGTAAGATTGATTTATACTTCAGAGAAATCACAAATAATTGTTAATGGAGATTTCACAAAGCCTTGTGAGATACCAAAAAAGGACAAGATAGGGATGACCATTTTATTATTATTTATTATTCACATTGATGAAAAAACTAGAAGAATTTGGTGCATTAGCAGGTTTTCAGATCAACAAACAGAAGAGGAAGATGTGAGCAAAAAACTTGAATGTAGAAGATCAAACAGAATTAAGGAATAGAATAGCTTTAAAGAAAGAAAAAATAAAAATATCCGGGTATCATCATGACAAATATGAATTGTATGTTATTCAAAATATATTAAGATGTGGAAATAAGTTTTAAAAAGGTATCTTAAGATGGGAGAAATTACAATTGTAACTGCTGGGGGGAAATTATGTTACTAAAAATTAATGTCCTGCCTAGAATTATGTTTTTGTTCCAGATAATACCTCTTTTGGCAACTGAACCATGATTTAAACGGTGGCAAAAGTGTATATCTAAATTTGTATATCGGGGGGAAAACACAAGTTAAAGGGTTACAGGATGCAAAAGAAAGAGGATTGGGTTTACCTGATTTGAAATTTTATTTTCCAGCCCGCTATTTGATTTGAATGAAAGAGTGGATACTGCTAAGAAATAAAAGACTTGGGGAATTAGAATGGTATGGCCTGAGATTTGGCTGGCATGGATAATTGTGGTACAATAAAACCAAAGTTAATGTGGATTTAAAAAATCATCATCTCAGAATACTATGCTAATCCATAAAGTGGTTTGTTTAGTTTAGCATTTTGTGTGAACTTGACTAACATTGTCTTATTCAGTAAGCCATAATAAAATAGAGATCACGATTGTGGGAAAGTCTGGATATCTAACCTGTTGGAATATTTTGACTCCTGTCTCAATATTCAGCTTTCCTAACAAAAATCAGTTATTGTGAAGTTGCAAATGTCAACTTCCTGGCTCTTCAAGTAGTAATGCAAATGTCTTTTTTCTTTTTTTTTTAAACAGTTGTCTGCGGATCCTGGTTTGACCATGTTTTAAGCTGGGAAAAACACTTGCATGAGAAAAACATCCTGTTCTTGTTCTACGAAGACATGAAAAAGGTAAATTGGCATCCGTTTCTTGCTACGGAACAGATGAAGGAGGCAGATGCCGAAGCATTTTGCTCCATCTTATTTTTCTTTTTGCTGATCACGATATAGCTTCCCATAATTTCATGCATTTTAATGTGTTGTTATCGCACAGCCATGTGGCCAGGGAGTTTGGGTATTGTAGTTCAGCACAAAGGCATCAGATTGATGAATGTTAAGAGCCCTTCTACCTTTCCAAAAATGATAGGTTCTACTTACATGATTTATTTGCTTTTTTTTTTTTTTGGCCACCCTGCTCCTAACTGGACACACACTTAGATATATGTCTTGCATGTATTCCTATCCAAGGGATGTGCAAAACCTATCCTTCTAGGAATCAGAGATTCAGCTATTGGAGAATTGTTTCAAAATTTGACTCTTTGATCTCCAGAATGGTAGGGTATTTTTTTTGCATATTCTCTTTATATAATAATAATAACAACAACAACAACAACAATACCTTCAAACATCCACATCTGCCTATCCCAGGTCCTTGGGAAGGACACGATAGGTAGACAAAAATGCCAAATCCAGTCTGAACATCTGGCTGACTGAGCGATGATCAATAATAACAACAATAATAATAATAGTTGGAAGGGGCCTTGGAGGTCATCTAGTCCAATCCCCTGTTCAGGCAGGAAACCCTATACCATTTCAGACAAATGGCTGTCCAGTCTCTTCTTAAAAACTTCCAGTGTTGGCGCATTCACCGCTTCTGGAGGCAGGTTGTTCCACTGGTTAATTGTTCTAACTGTCAGGAAGTTTCTCCTTAGTTCTAGGTTGCTTCTCTCCTTGATTAGTTTCCATCCGTTGCTTCTTGTCCTGCCTTCAGGTGCTTTGGAGAATAGCTTGACTCCCTCTTCTCTCTGTGTATGATTGTGTATGTGTGTGCATGCCTGTGTGTTTGTGTGTTAAGGAATCTAATATCTATTCATTTATTTACTTACTTACTTGTTTGTTTCATTAGATTTTTTTTTACCCAGCCTTTATTCCTTTATAAATAACTCAGAATAGCAAACATACCTAACACCCCTTCCTCCTCTGATTTTCCTCACAACAACAATCCTGTGAGGTGGGCTGAGCTGAGCGAGAGTGACTGGCCCAAAGTCACTTAGCCAGCTTTCATGGCTAAGGTGAGACTAGAACTCATAGTTTCCCAGACAGCTTTCATCCCGAAGAAATACGGAACTAGAACTTATTGTCTCCTGGCTTCTACCCTGCTGCCTTAACCACTAGGCCAGGAGTAGGCAACCTTGGCTCTTTTATGACTCGTGGACTTCAACTCCCAGAATTCCTGAGCCAGCCATGCTGAGGGGAAAGGGAAAGGTTTCCAAGCTGAGTCATGCTGACTCAGGAATTCTGGGAGTTGAAGTCCACGAGTCATAAACGAGCCACGGTTGCCTACCCCTGGCCTAGGCCAACTGTTTTTCTAAAAAAAAAAAACCCTATAAAGCCTTTCCTGACTAGAAAACAGTAATCTATATGGTTCTCCCTTTCATTCTGACAACACCACCATGAGGTGGTTTAGATTCCATGTTCTTGTAGGATAAGATAAGATAATGGATTATGTCCTCTAGAGAAAAAGTCCTATCTATGTACACAATTCTGCTTAGGCATGGAAAAGTACTCAAATCCGCCTGGGAGTGTCTTTCCAGACTCCCTGTAAATACATTATAATCCCTCTTGCAGTTTCTCAGATTTTTTTTCTTCTTCTTTCAAAGAGGCTTCTGTTTTTCTACCTCCCACTAATAAAGGAGAATATTTGTACTTGGGGTTGAAATGAGGGGTCCTTGACGCTCTTTGAGCTTAGTTGTTTTCTTGCAGACCTTTCATTATCCAAATTAGTGCTGATGATGTTACATAATAATAATAATAATAATAATAATAATAATAATAATAATAATAATAATAATAATGTTGGAAGGGACCTTAGAGGTCATCTAAATTTTCATTTAATAATAATAATAATAATAATAATAATAATAATAATAATAATAATAATAATAATAATGATGATGATGATGATGATGATGATGATGAAGAAGAAGAAGAAGAAGAAGAAGAAGAAGAAGAAGAAGAAGAAGAAGAAGAAGAAGAAGAAGAAGAAGAAAGTTGGAAGGGACCTTGGAGGTCATCTAGTCCAACCCCCTGCTCAGGCAACAAACCCTATACCATTTCAGACAAATGGCTGTCCAGTCTCTTCTTAAAAACTTCCATGTTGGAGCATTCACCGCTTGTTGTTCCACTGGTTAATTGTTCTCACTGTCAGGAAATGTCTCCTTAGTTCTAGGTTGCTTCTCTCCTTTCCATCTGTTGCTTCTTGTCCTGCCTTCAGGCGCTTTGGAGAATAGCTTGACTCCCTCTTCTTTGTGGCAGCCCCTGAGATATTGGAACAATGCTATCATATCACCCAATAGTCCTTCTCTTCATTAAGCTAGACATGACCCAATTTCAGCAACCGTTCCTTATATGTTTTAGCCTCCAGTCCCCGATCATCTTTGTTGCTCTTCTCTGTACTCTTTCTAGAGTCTCAACATCTTTTTTACATCGTGGTGACCAAAACTTGATGCAGTATTCTAAGTGTGGCCTTACTAGGGCATTGTAAAGTGGTATTAATACTTCACGTGATCTTGATTCTATCCCTCTGTTAATGCAGCCTAGGAATGTGTTGGCTTTTTTGGCAGCTGCAGCACACTGTTTGGTAACAAAACGTCTGCAAGTAAACAATCAAGCTCCGAGACCACCAAGGACCTCTTTATTCTCTCATTGCTTGGGAAATTCTTGCGACATTGTAAAGTGGAGTTTATTGTGGGAGAAGATAAAGAAAGCTACGGTGGATGTTGTTATTTCCTGTTGAGCCTCTCCCATCATCTTGACATCTTTTTTGAAACAGAGCAATAGGAGGAATTTTCACCCACTGTCTTTCTGTGAAATTAAGAAGCCCCCCCCCCCCCAAAAAAAGCTGTAAACGCCTGGAGAAAGGATACGTGATTAAACCAGATCATTGGCACAGAACATTTGGCCATTAACTAAGTGCAAGAATGTGACCTTTCTCCATTAAATGCACCCAAATCTTTCTTCGTTTTTGAAAGACCTCTAAAAAGTAAAATAAATTTGGTAAACCAAAATGCAACAGTACGTTTCTACATAGGGGCCTGATGGTTCAGTGGTTAAAGACTCTGAGTTTGTCAGCTGGAAAGGTTTGAGACCCAAGCGCTGTGCGATGGGGTGAGCTCTCGTCCCTTGCTCCAGCTCCTTTCCACTTAGCAGTTCCAAAGCATGCAAATGCAAGTAGATAAATAGGTACCACTTTGTTGGGAGGGTAACAGCGTTCTGTGTGCCTTTGGCATATAGTTGGCTCCCTTGGCTAAGAAATGGAGTTGAGTACCGCCCACCAGAGTTGGACATGACTGGACAGGGAAATCTTTACCAGTACATTTATATATTGCTCAAAAAAATAAAGGGAACACAAACATAAGACATCCTATATTTTTGTGTTCCCTTTATTTTTGTGAGCAGTATATTTCTATATGGGATGAACACATTGATGCCTACTACACTAATCTGATCTGCATGGGATTGTAAAATGGAAAAACAACAGCAATACAAACTGCAATCAAAGGGAAAGGTAGGGAATTATTTTTTTTCCCACAGGCGTCAATTGGAAAAACTTAATTTACTCCAGATATGTTGGATTATGAGGATACTTGGGAATCCTCAAATTTGCAATCTAATCCACTTGGGATATTGTACATTGAGGACAGCTGCTCTGCTGGGAGAACAGAATGAGATCTATCTTCTGAGTAAATAAGACTTGAGCTCTTTTGGCAAAGATTTGGAGGGAGGGGGAGGAATCCTTTGAAAATTTTGCCTGGTTTTATATGTTCACTCCTTCCATTGTGTGGTGCGGTGGCTCGGCGGTTAAGTCACTGGGCTTGTCAGCAGGAATGCCAGCAGCCCAGGTTTGAGAGCCAAGTGCCACGCAAGGGGTGAGCTCCTTGTCCCAGCTCCTTACAACCTAGCACAGTGGTGGCGAACCTATGGCACGCGTGCCAGAAGCGGCATTCAGAGCCCTCTCTGTGGGCACGTGTGCTGTGCCCCGGAGATGGCAAGGGACTGGCCCCCGCTGCCCTGGCCCCACCCACCCAGTCTGCCATGACCACCCGGCCACGCCCACCCGGCACCCGGTGATAAATAAGTGGGGTTTGGGTTGCAGTTTGGGCATTAGGTCTCTAAAAGATTCGTCATCACTGACCTAGCAGTTTGAAATGTGAGTAGATAAATAGGTATCACTTCGGTGGGAAGTTAATAGCACTTCCCTCATGTTAGCAGCATTGACACTGGCTACATGACCGTGGAAATGTCTTCGGACTGTGCTGGCTCAACGGCCCTTGAAATGGAGATGAGCACACACACACAGCCTAAAGTTGGCAATGACCAACGGAATAAAATCTGCAGGGATTCCTACTCCTTCTGTTTCAGTGGGAGGGAATAAACACAGAACAAAAAAACGTTACAGATCATTTTTTTCTCTCTGTTGTCTTACACGTTCAGGATCTCCCCAAGGTGGTGAAGAAATTAAGTGCCTTCCTAGGGCTCAACCCCAGCGAGATCCAGATCTATGAAATTTGCAAAAGGGCTTCCTTCAGTGAGATGAAAACCAATACAGAAAAAGAAAATTCTGATCAAAGCCATACGGTCTGCGTACTCACTTCCAACCGGAAATTGATATTCCGAAAAGGTAATTTGAGGAATTGAACCTGTTGAAATGTCTCCCTTGAGGGCTGGTCTAAATTGTTTGGAACAGTGGTCCTCAACCTGTGGTCTGCGGACCCATGGGGGGGGCGTGATTTATCACGGGGTCGGTGAAGGCTTGAAATTTTTTTTTATGATTGAGTTAAATCTTGGGGTTACGTGGCCAAAAAAGGTATTTAAAGCGGGTCCATGGTGAAGAAAAGGTTGAGAACCACTGATTTAGAAGGTACATCTCAACCGAAGTAGACCAGGCTAAAAAAAAAAATCAATGCCATGTAGATCAGGACTATTTTTATTGTAAAATAAAATATATTGTATGTTTCATGAATCAGCTAGTGTCCTAGTGCTTGGACATAGCCCTGATGTAGATCCGTTTTCTTATCTCTTAAACTTCTAAATAGCGCATTTTCTACTTGTAAACATATCCCCAATTCTTTATCACTCCATCCCCTTAACTCTTAGAGCGATGAAAATATTGTCGTCTGGACATGTTTTTGTTTCGTTTATTTCAAGGTACTGAGTTCTTCCAGGTCACAACCAAGGTGTTTATGTGCCTTTTCTGAGCTCTGCGTCTGGGCTTTCCCTTCCTCCCAGCTGCCCATACAGCTCCCTAAGGCAGCTAACCTCGCAGGACAAAGTTGCTGAGCTTATCTGCAACTAATCAGAGTCTAGATACATTTCTCTGCAAAGGGCTGTGGATACACAGGTTGTCTGTTCTGTTGTTTTCAAGGGATAAGAACCATATATACTGCTCACAAAAATAAAGGGAACGCAAACCCCTTCAGTTCCATGGTAAAATGTTCCCTTTATTTTTGTGAGCAGTATATATACAAGATTATTTTCTGACAGTTAGAACAATTAATCAGTGGAACAACCTGCAGGGGGTTGGACTAGATGACCTCCAAGGTGCCTTCCAACTTTATTATTATTATTATTATTATGGACAGTCAGCCAGATGTTCAGACTGGATTTGGCATTTTGTCTACCTATTGAGTCCTTACCAAGGACCTGGGATTGGCAGATGTGGATGTTTGCTGTTATAGATATCGTCGCAGGATGGAAGCGGTTCCTAGTAAGGCCGATTTTTGCAATTGACTAATGGTGAATTTGTCAATGCCAATGGTGTTATTATTATTATTGTTGTTGTTGTTATAAATGTGCACATCCAGTTTGATAAGAGTTATCTCCAAGGTCCCTTCCAGCTCTATCTATTCTATTCCACACAAGATGCCAAAGCATCACGGTGAAATTGTCACCCTGACAATCTAGACCAGGGGTTCCCAACCTATAGCCCATGGCCCTTGGCCAGTGAGCCATGGAAATGGCTGGCTGGTGCACGCACGCGTGGGCGCGCATTCCCCCCACTCACTCTAGCGCCCGTGGCCCCATTTGTACATGCCCACACGCACGAATGGGGCTGCTAGCACCAGGCGGGTTTGTGTGGCCCATTTGCGCATGCACAAACAGGGCCGCTAGTGCTGGGTGGCTTGTGCAGCCCATTTGTGTATGCGTGAATGGGGCTGCTAGCTGCCCTGGGGGTGAATAAAGTGAATGAACCTGCTTTTGCCAATTGTTAATCTGGCCTGTCAATCTGCTGGGATCCCCCCTCTACTCGGTGGGATGCTGGATTTTGTTGATTTGAATCAGGGGGTGTCTGGCCTTGGCAACTTTAAGACCTGTGGGCTTCCTCTCGGACTTCAACTACCCTTCCTTATTTCTAACCCTTTCCTAGGTACCGTTGGTGATTGGAAGAATCACTTCACTCCCAAACAGAACCGGCTGTTTGAAGAGACATTTAAGAAGAAAATGACATTCAGTGAAGTGGCAAAACATCTCATTTATGAATGCTGATTTGGAAATGAACCATAAGCACCTGGATCAAAAAATGTTTAACAGACTAATATTTTTCACATGGATAGATTCGTTTTCTTCCAAAGAGACAGACGGAGAAGAAACAGGAGGGACTTGTGAAGAAATTCTGCTCTTGAGGATTGCAGCTGATCCATTCTGTTGTCCTTACTTCTATTTTCTGTCCCATCTCTTAGAACAGGAGTCTTCAAACTTGGCCCTTTTATGACTTATGGACTTCAACTCCCAGAATTCCTCAGTCAGTGTGCCTAAATGAACAGTTACTAAATGAACGTTTACCTCAGGGATCTTCAAACTTGGCCACTTTAAGACTTGTGGACTTCAATTTCCAGAATTCCTCAGGAGGTATTCTGGGAGTTGAAGTCCACAAGTCATAAAAGGGCCAAGTTTGAAGACCCCTGTCTTACAACAATCAATTCGGTGTACCATAGCCAATATGAGCTGCTTTGTTTATTACTCCTTAATGATCATTATCTACGTGTCTCTAGTTTGGTTTGGTTCCATAAGCCTTGAGTTCCCACAAGTTTCTTGACCCCCGCCCTATTATGTGTAATTCTTCCTATTGTACGTCAAGGAACACAATTATAGCCTGAAATAATTAGGCAGAGAATTGGGGTGTTGATAATCTGTGTGAGGGAAGTTCAAGACACTTTTTTTTTGTTTTCTGATGAGGAAGATCAGTGCTAGAAACAAGCTTGTTCTTCCCTCCTGCACTTTCTTTACCCAGAATTGTATGTGGCAATGTAGAAATAATTGAATCAGAAATAAACTATTTAATGGACCATGAATAAATAAACACAAATGGACAATGAAGGATCTTTAGTCCAACCCTCTCCAATGTGCAGGAAATTCAATTCAATTAATGTTTCCCAACCTCAGCAAGTTTACAATGTGTTGACTTCTGGTGGCTGGGGAATTCTGGGAATTGAAGTCCACACATCTTAAAGTTGCCAAGGTTGGGATCATCTTTGAGAGATTGTTATCCAACATCCTCTTAAAAAAACTTCCAGAGGTCAAGAGTCGTAAATACTATAGCTATTCAAAATTTTGTGGCTGACAAAGAATTAGTGGGAGACTAGTATAGCTATTTCAAGCTCTTTAGCTCTCATCAACTAGTCATACCCCTCTGGGATTCAAACCTGGGTAGCTTGCATGTTAGGCAGCTGTATTAACCTTTTGAGCCACAGGTTACTATAGCTATATAGTTCTACTGTTGTACAACTCTTATCATTGTTTCCGGGACATACGGAGTTTAAAAATTCACTTGTTCATTGTGCCCAGAATCAATTTTGTTTTTGCAACGAGTAAACAAATCAAGCCCAGCATGTTAACAGTTTTGGGGTGGGGTAGGGATCCTAATACAGTAGTAGCGTTGCATGATAGCCTCTTGGTTTAACATGAGCTTCATGTTCTCCTCTGAAAATATTTTGATTCAATAAAATTGAACCTTGGAAGAATAGGGACAGACATAAGGATTTTTTTTTAAAAAAACATGGCATGTAATTAATTTTTGGAATTGTGCTATAAGGTAAGGTGCTGTCTACCAACTTGGCTGATTTTAGAAAGAGTGAGACCAAGCTGTGGGATCAGGGGCTTTTGGTCTTGATGGCAGTGGGACTGCCTCTGAAGGTCTTCTCCTGGGAGAATAGAGGGCTTCCTTGTGCTGTTGGTTGGTCACCCTGTGAACAGACCGATGGACTAGGTGGGCCAGGGGTCCAATCCAGGAGGGTACAGCTTTGGTTCTGATTACAGTACTGGCTACTGCTTTGTGCTTCCTAATTCCAATGAACAATGTACTTAACTTGTTTACTACAGATCGTCCTTGACTTGCAACTTTTTGTGGAGTGACTATTCAAAAATACAATGGCACTGAAAAAAGTGACTTATGATTGTTGTTCATATTTACAAGCATTGTACCATCCCCAGGATCACATTATCAAAATTCAGGCACTTAGCAACTGGCATGTATTGAATAGAATAGAATAATAATAATAATAATAATAATAATAATAATAATAATAACAACAACAACAACAACAACAACAACAATAATAATAATAATAATAATAATAATAAAGTTGGAAGGGACCTTGATGGTCATCTAGTCCAACCCCCTGCTCAGGCAGGAAACCCTATACCATTTAGAATAGAACAGAATAGAATAGAACAGAGTAGGGTAGAGTAGAGTAGAGCAGAGTAGAGTAGGGTAGGGTAGAGTAAGGTAGAGTAGAGTAGAGTAGAGTAGAGTAATAGAATAGAATAGAATAGAATAGAATAGAATAGAACAGAGTAGGGTAGAGTAGAGTAGAGTAGAGTAGGGTAGAAGAGAAGAGAAGAGTTGGAATGGACCTTGGAGGTCTTCTAGTCCAACCCTCTGCTCAGGCAAGACAAATGGTTGTCCAATCTCTTCTTAAAAACTTCCAGTGGTGGAGCGTTCACAACTTCTGCAGACATGGCCATTTTTAGCAGGTACCAACTGAATGGAGAAGCAGTGATTTGGCCCTTGATTGCTCTTTTTTTCCATCATGTGGAATGTAAGCTTAACTTTGAGATGTAAAGGATGGATGTACAAGTCACCCAAGAATCAGTGTAAATTGTCAACTAGATTGGCCAGTCGGATACACAGATTTGAACAGCTCTGTAGATTTTTCATAAAGCATCGAACTGGGTTGGTTTGATAAAGAGTGCAGGCAACTATGCAAAAGTCTATCAAACTGAATCAACCAGAAGACACCAGGTTTAATATGAAGCACGAATTACCTGGGCCTGCCGAAGGGCAAATGATGGAAATTGTACCGTTTCCTGGCTCAGCTCTGTTTCTCCACCAATTTTAATCTACCATTTAGCACCATCTAATGGTCAAATTGAACTGCAAGGCTAGTGTTTTCTTGCCCTGTCTTCAGAGGGTCTAGGACAGGGGGTCTTCAAACTTGGCCCTTTTATGACTTGTGGACTTCGACTCCCAGAATTCCTCAGCCAGCGTGCCTCAGAAATCTGCATAGCAAAACCTCAGAATCTGCACAGCAATCTGCACAGCAATCTGAATTTTGATCACGTGACCCTGGGGATGCCGCAACAGTCACACGTGTGAAAAAAATGGTCGTCGCTGTTCTCAGAGCCATTGAAATTTCAAAAGAATGGTTCTAAATCAAGGGCTACTTGTATAATGTAGTGAAACACCACCACCACCCTTGAGCATATTGTGTAAACCAGGGATAGGCAACCTTGGCTCTTTTATGACTCGTGGACTTCAACTCCCAGAATTCCTGAGCCAGCCATGCTGAGGGGAAAGAGAGAGGTTTACAAGCTGAGCCATGCTGACTCAGGAATTCTGGGAGTTGAAGTCCACGAGTCATAAAAGAGCCAAGGTTGCCTACCCCTGGTGTAAACACAGCCTTAGACACGTGATTGACTCCTATCAAGGTGGATATTTCAATACCGGAGGACTTATCATAAATAGGAAGTGGAAATGGAAGCAGAGTCTGTCACACGCAAAGAGCATGCGACACGGAACAAATCACTCATCACCCAGCTAGAAGAAAGAAAGAAAATAAACTTCAATACAGTTTCACAGGGGTTTTTTTATTCTTGAATTAAAAAATAAAGCCTCTTTGATTACATATTATTCACACTTATAAATAATCAACAAGATAAATCAGTGAGAGCGTTTATTCATAGTTCCCAGAAATGCATCGAACCTCAGCATCTGGCAGAAGAGGTATTTCATAGTGTTACATTTTATAAATATATTTATATTTCATATTGATAAATCAATGGCAATTTCTTGACCATTTCCCCACCCACCCCCAAAAAAACCTTATTTTCAGGTGATTTGAGACCTGAGGGGAGGATTTCTTATCTCAAACTTTTATTTCATCCTTCTAATCTAAATATCAGCTATTCAAGTTTATGTCGGGATCTTCCTTCATCCAGCATGAATATATTATTATAGGTTTGGCTTGTTTTTTCCAGTCCAGCGTTCACCAGATCTCTTTTGGACAGGCGATTGTTTTTTGCATATTAAAGCGAAAGATAAAACAAGGGTGGAAAATAGGCTAGAGAGATACAAAATTATTGGACCAAAAGTAAATTTTCAAGATAATTTCAAGGCAAAAGTTTCGATTCACACATCATACAGTGGATGGTTGGTTTTGCCCCAAGTGTTGTAGAATCATTCATAGCCAATTGTGGCTTCTTTTTTTAAAAAAACCATGTTTTACAGTAGGTCACAGAAAGGACGATTTTATGGAAAAAAGAAAAGTAGGATAAGATTTCATTTGTATGAAGGAGTAATCCAATTCACACATCTCAACGTAATTCATGCCCGCTAAATTGGCCAGTATTTATAATAGGAAATGATGTCAAATGTTACAGCAAGGTGGGCTTCTAACGGTATGCATCTAGGGGCACGATGGCTCAGTGGTTAAAGACACTGAATTGGTCAGCTGGAAAGGTTTGAGACCCGAGCACTGTGCAACGGTGAGCTTCCTTCTGTCCCAGCTTCTGCCCACCTAGCAAGTGCGAGTAGATAAATAGGAATTGCTTCGGTGGGAAGGCCACAAAATTTTTAAAATCACTTTGCCCAGAATGGTATTTCAGCATACAAAGACATCTATATATTTTTTTTCCATGCATGAAAATTCTCCTTGGGTACAAATGCAAATATCCAGGGAGAATGGTAAAGACTTTTCACTTTCCTTCACAGAAGGAAGAGACAAGCCCATAAAGCAGAGGTCTTCAAACTTGGCCCTTTTATGACGTGTGGACTTCAACTCCCAGAATTCCTCAGCCAGGCACGCGTGCCTGGCTGAGGAATTCTGGGAGTTGAAGTCCACACGTCATAAAAGGGCCAGGTTTGAAGACCCCTGCCATAAAGTTTCTGCCAGGGGTGTCCACAGGAGGGTGAAAATGGAGGAGAGCAAAAATCACAACACAGCGGCTGTCGTTGTGACTTTTCAGACCCTCTCTGTAGACGCTCCCTTGTGCCTGACAATCGCCTTTGTCCAAAAGGCTAACGAGATCATAGGAAAAGGTTACTTTAAAAAACATGACTGAAAAAAATGGACGTTTGTTTATCCAAAATCTCAGTGAAGCGCTATCCTCCTCCTCTGAGCTTTTGGGGGGGAGGGGGAATGTAAAGCCCCCCCAAGCCCACTGAAAACAACAACAACAACAAAGAAATCACAATCAATTTTCACCACAGATTTTAAAAAAATAATCAAAAGCATAAACATTAAAATGCTGAGATTAGGAAAAAAAACCATCCATCACTTGTAAATACCAGCACATTATCTGATCTATCATTGACTTAGGAAACCTGTTTTAGGCCATCACTTTAGTTCAGGGGTCTTCAAACTTGGCCCTTTTATGACTTGTGGACTTCAACTCCCAGAACTCCTCAGCCAGCAAGCCTAAATGAACGGTCACTAAATGAACATTTACCTCAGGGGTCTTCAAACTTGGCCGCTTTAAGACTTATGGACTTCAATTCCCAGAACTCCTCAGCCAGGCACACGTGCCTGGCTGAGGAATTCTGGCAGTTGAAGTCCACATGTCATAAAAGGAGGAATTCTGGGAGTTGAAGTCCACAAGTCATAAAAGGGCCAACTTTGAAGACCCCGGCTTTAGTCTGTAAATAATCTGCAGCCTAATAATGAAATAAAGCCATAGCAGATGAGACGATCCAATCAGCTTAAAGTTAAAGAGATAACAAGTACATTCATGAAACACACCCAGCTCAGCTAGCTTTGATTTGGAGATACGTCTTAGCGTGTGAGGTGAATCCACAATTCGCCCCAACATTTCCGATGCTAAAGTGTTCATTTTATGACCTTCCTTGCCGCAGCTGTTTAAGTGAATCACTGCGCTTGTTGAGTTAATAACCCGGTCGTTAAGTGAATCTGGCTTACCCATCTTTGCTTGCCAGAAGGTCGCAAAAGGGGGTCACCTGACCCCGGGACGCTGCAACCGTTCGTAAACCTGAATCGGTTGCCAAGCGTTTGAATTGACCATGGGGATGCTGCAACGGTCGTAAGCGTGGACAACGGTCACTAAGTCCCTTTTTTCAGTGCCGTTGTAACTTTGAACGGTCACTAAGCAAAGACTAGCGGGACTGCGAGACTCTTTTTCCGCAGGACACCACAAAGACAAGGACGCTTTCGCACTGCTGTCTCCTTCAATCTTTTTCCTTCAGAATGCAACTCTTTTGGTGCTACAAGTTTGAACCAAATATGTCCAATTGTTCTCTGGTATCTTACTGGACCCTCACAACGATTCTGAGCTAGCAGGTAAAAGAAAAGTGCTTGCTTTCAGTCTCTCATTAAGTGCTTTTTTTAATTTCCTAAAGATGCTCCTGGACTCAACTGACCATCTCAAGTGGCTGCTCTCAAGATAACAGAAATTCACCAGAAGCAAAATCAGGTCAATCAAATCACCTCAGATCGCTGTCTAGAGCAGGGGGTCCCCTATCCCCGGTCCGTGGACCGGTACCGGTCCGTGGCATGCCAAAAACCGGGCCACGCAAACAAGCAAAGCCCCATCTGTGGGATGCAGGCAGCACACAAAACCACAACCCCTCCGGTCCGCGGAAAAACCTTTCAACATGGAACCGGTCCCTGGTGCCCAAAAGGCTGGGGGGGCTGCTGGCCTAGGGCAGGGGTAGGCAACCTTGGCTCTTTTATGACTGGTGGACTTTAACTCCCAGAATTCCTGAGCCAGCCATGCTGAGGGGAAAGGGAGAGGTTTCCATGCTGAGCCATGCTGGCTCAGGAATTCTGGGAGTTGAAGTCCACGAGTCATAAAAGAGCCAAGGTTGCCTACCCCTGGCCTAGGGCCTCGGGGAAGAATATGCAACTCCTTGTTGTCAAGGAGCTCAAGAGCTCAGCGATTCAGCCAAGCAGATGAACTGGGACATCCCATCAACAGCTCACCCACGGAATTTGCAACAGGAGGTCTTTGTCATTACCGGTGGCCCATAAACCTTTAAAGATTTAGCACCTGTTCTCCTGCTTGGATCTGTCCTCTTTAAATTCAAGAAACGCTAGGACTTTTGACCACTTGGCACCACTGCCCTGCCTCTGGCACTCATGCCTTTCCCCATTCCCCAATTATGATTTGCCACTTCAGACCACCAAAACGTTGATGCTCCCCAATTGAATAGGTGACTGGATTTAACCCGTGTGACTCAGCTTAAGAGCAGTGTTTCTCAATCTCGGCCACTTGAAGAAGTATGGACTTCAACTCCCAGAGTTCCCCGATCAGCGTGGCTGACCGGGGAATTCTGGGAGTTGAAGTCTAACACTGGCTTAGAGCAGGGGTGTCAAACTGCCGATGCATCATACCCAAACCGCACCCACCTCATTGCCGGCAATGGGAAAAAAAGCTGCGATACGTTGCGACACGTCACGTGACGTTGCGAGTTTGACACCCCTGGCTTAGAGGATCCAATCTAGGGTAACAGCATTAAAATAAACTTTGTTGTGGAGAAATACTTCTTGAACATAACATCAAGAATGTATATTCCTACCTGTCAGGAATCATCAGTACTTAGATGTCAGCCTCTGTCAAAATATTAAGTTCCGTTTGATGTCCGTTCACGGTCATCAATTCCTTAAATAACGGCACGGCACTGTAGCCAGACTTAAAAAACCCCAAGCGTTTTTTTTCCTATTGCTTCTATTTTTACCAAAGTTATTTTTGCCTAAATGATCAGGCTGCAAAAAAAACCAAAACCAAGCAAGCAAATAAACAAACATAAAATAAAGAGGGGAAAAAAAACCAGGGAATTAGGGCTGTAAAATTTTTAGCCTTCTAGGAAACATCTCCGGCAATAGCGTGTCTTTGGATTTATTGGGTTTTCCTGCCACTTTGGGTCTGCGTCAATTCATGAACGATTTCGTCACCAGTGAAATAATAAAGCGGATATTTTAAAGCTGCCTGTCGGGGTCCTTTGGATGCTGGAAATGTCAAAAGCCAAGCAGGGAAAAGTCACCCCAGCAGAATCAGGGAGGCGACTTCCTAGCTGGATCACCCCACGTTTTTTCCCGCCGAATTCACCTTTTCCATTAAAAGGAGGATGTGCTCGGCGAACTCTCGAACCGCGCCACGGCCGCCATTACATCGACAAATGTAGCTTGCAGCTTTCTGGGAAGCCGGACAAGCGTCAGCAGGGACGGCACTCATGCTGGCTTTCTTCAGACACTCCACATCCGAGTCTTCATTTCCTGCAGTGACAGGGGAAAAAAAAAGCATCTTCAGCAAGCGATCGCACACTTTTTTTTTTTTTAAATGGTTACATTTGTTAGAGGCATTTCTGAGGTAGTTTAAAAAAATAAAAGGCAAGATTGCAAACCAAGGCCTGGCCTCTAAAAGCCTCGGATGCGTTCGTTCTAAAAGCTGATTTTGAATATAAAAGATTATTTATTCAATATATGTGGAAGTGTCCTATTGGTTGGTTTTGGGCAGGGGTAGGCAACCTTGGCTCTTTTATGACTGGTGGACTTCAACTCCCAGAATTCCTGAGCCAGCCATGCTGAGGGGAAAGGGAGAGGTTTCCATGCTGAGCCATGCTGGCTCAGGAATTCTGGGAGTTGAAGTCCATGAGTCATAAAAGAGCCAAGGTTGCCTATCCCTGGTCTAGGAGGCTCACCACTTAGAACAGGAGGATTTAGGACAGGGGTAGGCAACCTTGGCCCTTTTATGACTCGTGGACTTCAACTCCCAGAATTCCTGAGCCACCCATGCTGAGGAGAAAGGGAGAGCTTTCCAAGCTGAACCATGCTGGCTCAGGAATTCTGGGAGTTGAAGTCCACGAGTCATAAAAGAGCCAAGGTTGCCTACCCCTGGTTTTTTTTTTGGGGGGGGGGGGGTTGGACTTGCATTTACAAGAAATCGAATTTGAGGTTAATTCTGATTCCACCCACTTCTTTTTCCACCCACTTTCCAAAGCGCTCTCTGTACATTCAGAGACCTTTCTGCCTTCACAGACTTCCTTCCATCATCATCATCATCATCATCATCATCATCATCATCATCATCATCACCATCATCATCATTTTCAAAAAGGCATCAAGCAGGCCTTCCTCACAGTTTATTTTTTAGACTGGGAACAGAAGGTAGTCAGAGAAGCTTCCAAGAGATGGAAAGAGCCACAACAGAAAGCACACACACACACACCCCATCATGTGAGGTAGTCCTCGGCTTACAACCACAATTGAACCCAAAATTTCTCTTGCTAAGTGAGTTTGTCCCATGCTACAGCCTTTCTCGCCGCAGCTGTAAAGCGAATCACTTAAATTGTTAAGTCGGTAACACGGTTGTTAGATGTATCTGACTTTGATCGCCAGGAAGTCACCACATAATCCTGGGACACTGCCACCGTCATAAAGGTGAGTCAGTTGCCAAGCCTGAATTTTGATCACCTGCCCAGGTAGATGCTGCAAGGGTCATAAAACATCAAAAGTCCCCTTTTCCGAGTTGTTGTAACTTTCAATGGTCACTTAAGGAACAGTTGTAAGTTGAGGACTATTCTTTTCTACTTCCAACAATTGAGATGAGCTCAAAAGCCATCCCCTGGGGAAATAATAAAGCCCCTGAAGAATAAAGTAGAAAAACAGAAACCTCGTTTGCAGAGGAAGTCAACTTTTCAGAAAAACGTCCAGCAGAGCTTTAGTCAACGAAACCAGCAACAGCATTTGGGAAAGGCCTCACCTAAGTACGCAACCTCCTTCCAGCACAGCCCCATGGCCTTCCGCCATTTCTCCACGACACCCAGCTTGTCTATCACCCCGACTTCCAGGGTGCAGCCCAACTTCGAGGTGAAGACCGCCTTGGCGGAAGAGACCCGCTCGGAGATCAGCCGCACCTAGTCAAACGAAAGGCGGTTAGTGCTGACAGAAGAGAGTATTCGTAATCCAGGGTTGAAACGAGGGGTCCCTGGTGCTCTCTGAGCTTGAACGTTTTCTTGCAGACGTTTCATCGCCCAACTAGCAACGTCATCAGTGTTTTGTGTGTTTCAATGGTTTTTTATTCTTTTGTTTTAAAGGGTTTTCAAGATTTTAATTGTAATGTACATTTTGAATTGCGAGCTGCCCAGAATCGTTTGAAATCAAATAAATAAATTGAACTGAATTGAAATAAAATAAAAGATAAAATAATAAAACAATAAAATAAAATAATAAATATTGCTAACTGCTTTCCTCTCTCTGTCTTCGTGATGTCTCCATATTCTCATACAAAGGCTACATGCCTTGACATTTTGGCCTCCCCCATGAAAACTAAAAGCCAGCCTTCTTTCCAATAAAAGACAAAGAAATGTTGTGACCTCCCTATGCTGAAAATCTATCCCCAAGGTCAGGGGTAGGCAACCTGGGCCCTTTTATGACTCGTGGACTTCAACTCCCAGAATCCCTGAGCCAGCCATGCTGAGGGAAAAGGGAGAGGTTGCCATGCTGAGCCATGCTGGCTCAGGAACTCGGAGTTGAAGTCCACGAGTCATAAAAGAGCCGAGGTTGCCTACCCCTGTCCTAAGTCCTCCTGTTCTAAGCGGTGAGCCTCCTAGACCAGGGGTAGGCAACCTTGGCTCTTTTATGACTCGTGGACTTCAACTCCCAGAATCCCTGAACCAGCCATGCTGAGGGGAAAGGGAGAGGTTTCCAAGCTGAGCCATGCTGGCTCAGGAATTCTGGGAGTTGAAGTCCACGAGTCATAAAAGAGCCAAGGTTGCCTACCCCTATCCAAGGTCAATGAGTTAAATGTACCTCGACTCCTCTTTTCTGAAGCATACTTATTCCAACAGCATCTCTGACGTCATATGAAACCATCTCTTTTCCATCTTCAGAGAGGTAGAGGTGACCGGTGGTGAGGCATCCGTCAATGGTACAAACCAGAAGCTTCACTTCTTTTAAGGTCTCTTTCCCAAAGTAGCCATATCTGGAATATAGATGCGACAATCATGGAAAAGAAGGAAGGAACTGTTGTTTTACCTACGTTGCTTTCTATGGGCAAGAAGAAGGCTGGAAGGCTTAGAGGAAAAAAAATGCGTAATTCCCACTGAAGAAATAACAAGAGTTGGAAGGGACCTTGGAGGTCTTCTAGTCCAACCCCTTGCTCAACCTCCTTCCTACACCATTCCAGACAAATGGCTGTTCGATCTCTTCTTAAAAACCTCCAGTGTTCAGCACCCACAACCTTAGGAGGGAGCAGTTCCACGGATTGATTGTTCTAATTGTCAGGAAATTTCTGCAGCCTACTAGTTATTTTGCATGTGGGTGGAGACGGTTCACATATATTGCTAAGATCAGAGAGACTCAAGTTCTAGTCCGCCCTCAATCATAAAATCTTACTGGGATGTCCCTGGATCAGTCCTTCTATCTGCCCAACACATCTTGTGAGGTTTTTATGTGAAGATAATTCTGGAGGACAAATGTGTAGATTGCCTTGAACTCTTGGAAGAGCAAAAACCTTGCAAAATAAAGACTAATATTTATTTGGGGGACACATCCCTCTCTTCAACTTATATGAACTTGTTCTGGAACAAGGGTATCTAGAGAAAAGAACATTGTCGCTCAGGATGGAAATGAGGGGTCCTTGGTGCTCTCTGAGCTTGGCAGTTTTCTTGCAGACATTTCATTACCCAGCTAGGTAACATCATCAGTGCTAGAAGGGAATGGGGGAGGAGGAGGAGGAGGAGGAGGAGGACGACGACGACAACTATGGGTTCTGTGATGCTCTCTGAGCTTGGCGGTTTTCTTGCAGACGTTTCATTACCCAACTGGGTAACATCATCAGTGCTAGAAGGGAATGGAGGAGGAGGAGGAGGAGGAGGAGGA